ATGTTTATAAATGACTCGGCCTTGGATACCCGTGATGTTCGGGTGTCCTGCGGCTGCCGAGATCTGCTTCTACGTCGTGGCGCCGATGGAATGATGGCAAAAGGTGTCGGTGGTGCCGCAGCCGGGGTCAACGGGTTTTTAGCCTCAGAAAACTCGGGGACATCAACTTGGATTGGCGCAAAAAGGGCCAAAAGATACATCAAATGCATTCGTCTTCAACTATTGCCCAGGTGGTGGCTTCTGCATCGGAAAAATAACAAGTAGCCTGAAGCAAGCCCAGGTCAAGGAGAAGACTCAAAAGCATCCTGGGTAAATCATAGTAAATCCAATAATCAACCTGCAGTTGGGGATGGCTTATTACCGCTCATCTCTGGTAAAATTGGGGATGGTTTACTGTTTTGATCTGTTTTGGGGGTTACAGGGTCTGGTTTTACCACTTAATCATTCTGCCATTCTCCTTACCAGTAGTCGTGAGGACTTGTCAGATTCAAGAGTCTTGAGCCATCCAAACCATCCAAAAAAGTGGAGCCAAACGTGAGGGACGTACTTCTTGCAGTGTCGGGTCAATTGGAAAAACTCACCAACTTTGAGGCAGTAAAATCAGATAGTGTCAACCTCTGACCAATTCAACCCTGATTATCACTGCAATTGGGGATCCTCCCATATCCCCCAAATAGTGATCATTTTCTTCGGGTCACCGGTGGCTGGTTTGCCGATGGTGTCGGTGGTGCCACAGCCGGGGTCAACGGGTTTTTAACCTCAGAAAACTCGGGGACATCAACTTGGATTGGCGCAAAAAGGGCCAAAAGATACATCAAAAGGCATTCGTCTTCAACTATTGCCCAGGTGGTGGCTTCTGCATCGGAAAAATAACAAGTAACCTGAAACAAGCCCAGGTCAAGGAGAAGACTCAAAAGCATCCTGGGTAAATCATGGTAAATCCAATAATCAACCTGCAGTTGGGGATGGCTTATTACCACTCATCTCTGGTAAAATTGGGGATGGTTCACTGTTTTGGGGGTTACAGGGTCTGGTTTTACCACTTAATCATTCTGCCATTCTCCTTACCAGTAGTCGTGAGGACTTGTCAGATTCAAGAGTCTTGAGCCATCCAAACCATCCAAAAAAAGTGGAGCCAAACGTGAGGGACGTACTTCTTGCAGTGTCGAGTCAATTGGAAAAACTCACCAACTTTGAGGCAGTAAAATCAGATAGTGTCAACCTCTGACCAATTCAACCCTGATTATTACTGCAATTGGGGTTCCTCCCGTACCCCCCAAATAGTGATAATTTTCTTCGGGTCACCAGTGGCTGGTTTGCTGATGCTGTCGGTGGTGCCGCAGCCGGGGTCAACGGGTTTTTAACCTTAGAAAACTCGGGGACATCAACTTGGATTGGGGCAAAAAGGCCTAAAAGATACATCAAATGCATTCGTCTTCAACTATTGCCCAGGGGGTGGCTTCTCCATCGGGCAAATAACAAGTCACCTGAAACAAGCCCAGGTCAAGGAGAAGACTCAAAAGCATCCTGGGTAAATCATAGTAAATCCAATAATCAACCTGCAGTTGGGGATGGCTTATTACCGCTCATCTCTGGTAAAATTGGGGATGGTTTACTGTTTTGATCTGTTTTGGGGGTTACAGGGTCTGGTTTTACCACTTAATCATTCTACCATTCTCCTTACCAGTAGTCGTGAGGACTTGTCAGATTCAAGAGTCTTGAGCCATCCAAACCATCCAAAAAAAGTTGAGCCAAACGTGAGGGACGTACTTCTTGCAGTGTCGAGTTAATTGGAAAAACTCACCAACTTTGAGGCAGTAAAATCAGATAGTGTCAACCTCTGACCAATTCAACCCTGATTATTACTCTAATTGGGGTTCCTCCCGTATCCCCCCAAAAGTGATAATTTTCTTCAGGTCACCAGTGGCTGGTTTGCTGATGCTGTCGGTGGTGCCGCAGCCGGGGTCAACGGGTTTTTAACCTCAGAAAACTCGGGGACATCAACTTGGATTGGCGCAAAAAGAGCCAAAAGATACATCAAATGCATTCGTCTTCAACTATTGCCCAGGTGGTGGCTTCTCCATCGGGAAAATAACAAGTAGCCTGAAGCAAGCCCAGGTCAAGGAGAAGACTCAAAAGCATCCTGGGTAAATCATAGTAAATCCAATAATCAACCTGCAGTTGGGGATGGCTTATTACCGCTCATCTCTGGTAAAATTGGGGATGGTTTACTGTTTTGATCTGTTTTGGGGGTTACAGGGTCTGGTTTTACCACTTAATCATTCTACCATTCTCCTTACCAGTAGTCGTGAGGACTTGTCAGATTCAAGAGTCTTGAACCATCCAAACCATCCAAAAAAAAAGTTGAGCCAAACGTGAGGGACGTACTTCTTGCAGTGTCGAGTTAATTTGAAAACTCACCAACTTTGAGGCAGTAAAATCAGATAGTGTCAACCTCTGACCAATTCAACCCTGATTATTGCTGCAATTGGGGTTCCTCCCGTACCCCCCAAATAGTGATAATTTTCTTCAGGTCACCAGTGGCTGGTTTGCCGATGCTGTCGGTGGTGCCGCAGCCGGGGTCAACGGGTTTTTAACCTCAGAAAACTCGGGGACATCAACTTGGATTGGCGCAAAAAGAGCCAAAAGATACATCAAATGCATTCGAATCTTCAACTATTGCCCAGGTGGTGGCTTCTCCATTGGGAAAATAACAAGTCACCTGAAGCAAGCCCAGGTCAAGGAGAAAACAATAACGACAATAACACCTTCCACGACACCTTCCATAAAGACTCAAAAGCATCGTGGGTAAATCATAGTAAATCCAATAATCAACCTGCAGTTGGGGATGGCTTATTACCGCTCATCTCTGGTAAAATTGGGGATGGTTTACTGTTTTGATCTGTTTTTGGGGTTACAGGGTCTGGTCTTACCACTTAATCATTCTACCATTCTCCTTACCAGTAGCCGTGAGGACTTGTCAGATTCAAGAGTCTTGAACCATCCAAACCATCCAAAAAAAGTTGAGCCAAACGTGAGGGACGTACTTCTTGCAGTGTCGAGTTAATTGGAAAAACTCACCAACTTTGAGGCAGTAAAATCAGATAGTGTCAACCTCTGACCAATTCAACCCTGATTATTACTCTAATTGGGGTTCCTCCCGTATCCCCCCAAAAGTGATAATTTTCTTCAGGTCACCAGTGGCTGGTTTGCTGATGCTGTCGGTGGTGCCGCAGCCGGGGTCAACGGGTTTTTAACCTCAGAAAACTCGGGGACATCAGCTTGGATTGGCGCAAAAAGGGCCAAAAGATACATCAAATGCATTCGTCTTCAACTATTGCCCAGGTGGTGGCTTCTCCATCGGGAAAATAACAAGTAGCCTGAAGCAAGCCCAGGTCAAGGAGAAGACTCAAAAGCATCCTGGGTAAATCATAGTAAATCCAATAATCAACCTGCAGTTGGGGATGGCTTATTACCGCTCATCTCTGGTAAAATTGGGGATGGTTTACTGTTTTGATCTGTTTTGGGGGTTACAGGGTCTGGCCTTACCACTTAATCATTCTACCATTCTCTTTACCAGTAGCCGTGAGGACTTGTCAGATTCAAGAGTCTTGAACCATCCAAACCATCCAAAAAAAATGGAGCCAAACGTGAGGGACGTACTTCTTGCAGTGTCGAGTTAATTTGAAAACTCACCAACTTTGAGGCAGTAAAATCAGATAGTGTCAACCTCTGACCAATTCAACCCTGATTATTACTGCAATTGGGGTTCCTCCCGTACCCCCCAAATAGTGATAATTTTCTTCGGGTCACCAGTGGCTGGTTTGCCGATGCTGTCGGTGGTGCCGCAGCCGGGGTCAACGGGTTTTTAACCTCAGAAAACTCGGAGACATCAACTTGGATTGGGGCAAAAAGGCCTAAAAGATACATCAAATGCATTCGAATCTTCAACTATTGCCCAGGGGGTGGCTTCTCCATCGGGCAAATAACAAGTCACCTGAAACAAGCCCAGGTCAAGGAGAAGACTCAAAAGCATCCTGGGTAAATCATAGTAAATCCAATAATCAACCTGCAGTTGGGGATGGCTTATTACCGCTCATCTCTGGTAAAATTGGGGATGGTTTACTGTTTTGATCTGTTTTGGGGGTTACAGGGTCTGGTTTTACCACTTAATCATTCTACCATTATCCTTACCAGTAGTCGCGAGGACTTGTCAGATTCAAGAGTCTTGAACCATCCAAACCATCCAAAAAAAGTGGAGCCAAACGTGAGGGACGTACTTCTTGCAGTGTCGAGTCAATTGGAAAAACTCACCAACTTTGAGGCAGTAAAATCAGATAGTGTCAACCTCTGACCAATTCAACCCTGATTATTACTGCAATTGGGGTTCCCTTCTACCTCCCAAATAATCCCAGTGAGGATCTACAAAGTTGTACCCTCCAATTAAACAGCCCAGGGGTATATGACTCCGGCTGGGATGGTCGTACCCCAAAATTGCAATTGAAGAATGGAGAAAATCATGATGAGCCCTAAATGGCCCTAAATGCTTGGGCTTCTCCCCGATATTTTCAGACAAAACCTATTTGAAGCCACTAACCAAAGAGCTTGTGCCGAGACACATGCAGCTGTGTCGTGGAGCTCGTTGTAGTAGCCTGTGTGGCATGTACCCATTACCCATCTCCAAATCTGCAAAGGAAAATCATCGATAAATAGTGGGAAATAGTGGGAAATAGTGGGAAGTTCCATGGTTGGTCAAGACTCTTGGAGGCTACCACAGCAATTCTTGGATGTCGGATGTACTGTTCCTCTTATTGTATGGCATGGCATGACAATATCCCCATTTAGGTGAAGGTAACTAAAGCTAAAGTCTACACAGCTCTGGAGCCAATGAAGGACGATGATGCGAGTCTATCCGTCACAAGATATCAGCAGTGGTCTAGTTCCAGCATCCTAGTATATCCTAGTAGTTCTTGGATGTTGTAAATTATACACATCTATCATCATCTACCCACCCGCCATATCTCCCAGTTTTTCCAAGTTGCATCTGTCGAAGTCTTCTTCACATGTCGCCCTTCAGATCGACTTCTCTTCACTGCTGGCACTGCCCTGGCAGTTGGTGTTGGGTCCGCGGAGCGGGCCCTTCGAGTTGCGAAGGGACCGGCAGGCGGCGCTGAATTCAGTCCGGACGGACAGGCTTCGGAGCTCAATGAATTCGGATCTGTACCTCAGGGATGGCCATGGTATTCCGAGATATTGCATGTTATTGCTGAAATATATTTATACCTAAGATTTCGGCCAAAAAACTCTCAAATATAGGAAAATGAAGATATAATGAATTATATCTATATAAGATTTACCTGATTTTACTTGATATTAATTAGTGATGTATATATAATATACTTGTGGGATTGAACTTAAAAACATGGGATGGTTCATACTGAAACTCGAAAAATCATGGAATTTCGGACCCTGATGCTCTACATGTGCTCTTCGGAAATTAAACATGACGGGTCGCCGGGTCGCTGGGAGATGCCCTAAATGAAGGTTTACAGCCTGGAACATCATCTATAAATACCATGAAATATCTCTAAATCGTGGATTTCCAATTGTCGCGTTTGATTCGCTACCCTCTGGTAAACTAACATAACTATGGAAAATCACCATTTTTAATGGGAAAATCCACTATAAATGGTGATTTTCAATAGCTATGTTAAATTACCAGAGGGTAAATGGTACTGTCCTTAAACAAAAAAAAAGTCCTCAAGAAACATCATGAAACAACTGCATCTCCAGTGATTCTGTACCGAGTTCAGCTTGCCGTGTAGCATCCCATGGTGGAGACCCCATAGGATTCATGGTAGTGGCCTATGATGGAAATTCGCCGACGGGGATCCCTTAAACTGGTTAGCGTATGATCGTTGTCATCTTTCCTCTCATGTTTTTGAGTACTCCGCAACTATCCTATATCCAAGTTTGGCTTCACCAACAAAATGTGTCAATGTTGGATCTTCCGGTCTCAGCTAGATATGGCTACCTAGGGATACGTTTATCTCAGCAAAAACAATGCTAGATATCCCCCATTTGTTCAGATTGAACAAGTTAAAAGACTTAGTTATCTAATACATTCTAATAAGTTTATCTACAACTGGTAGCTATAGTACCCCTATGGTAACGTATGATTTTTACCATCTGGTTGTTTAACATAGCTATGGAAAATCCATTTTGAATGGAGGTTTTAATGGGAAAATCATCTGTAAATGGGCCATGTTCCATAGCTATGTTAAATAACCAGAGGGTAAATACTTCACTCTGACCCATAGTGACCACGCTGAACCACGCCATTCACGTTCGCCAAGCCACTGCTGCGTCGTCCCGGGGAAGCACTGCGACAGCGCTTCAATGTGGGCGTTGGGACGGCGGCGGAACCTGAAGCCGCATGGCTTGGGGATCAAAATAGGGTGCCCTGTATCTCCAATGGTTTAGAAAATATACCAAGCACATCATTTCCTGGGACTTGTATGGACTTGTGACATATTTATACATATTTATACAATTTTATACACGTTTATACTAGTATTATACTATAGTATTATTGCTGGGAAGGCGATTGACCACATACCACCTGGATGAACATCCAAGTATAATCATTGGCATGGTCGGTCAAGACATCATTCTTGACTTCCGTTTCTTTCCACCAGATTCTTCGGTTTGGAGAACAAATCATTAAATGGGTCCAAGATTACTCATTTCCAGTGGTTCTAGATCATCAAATGGGTCAATTTTTTTTTCAGAACTTTTCAATTCATTCTTCCATGATTTTCCCAGGAGTTCCTTTAAAAATGTCAACCTCCAAGGCACTGACCGCCCGCGCTGGGGTGGCCACTGTGGCGCCTAGCATGGCTTTCGCGGAGCGCGCGATGTCGCTGGCCTTCTCCCACAAACCTTTCCTCAGTTGAGCCATGACCAGTCAGTACCCTAGTAGATTAGCTAAATTAGCGGGGACTGGAAAACTATACCGGAGTGATTGGGGATTACTGTGACCTATAATTGGGAAACCTATCAAACAACTAGTACCATGAGATGGGACAGGGGTGCTTCTTAACGGCTCAAATGGTGACGATGGTGATATAAGGGGGATATAACATGATATAACTATGTAACAACCCTCATTCGTAGATAGAACAGTTGGAAACCTGGAAATTATGAGGAATCATCATCTAGAACGTGAACATGGTCAAGAGTTGGGTGCAGCCATTGAAAATGGGGATCTTAGGGGATATGAATTAGATATGTGGTGGGATATGTCACCAACTATAATCAGAAATTGAATGATATACCCGTTAATAGGGGAATGATCATCAATCCATTAATATACCTGTTATGTTTGGATTCCGAGTATGGGGTGGATGACCATAACCATACGCCATGTTTGGACCCTACCAAAGATGGTGATACAAAGGGGACATAATTATGTGTGTTTTAATGCGATTTGACCCACCACAATTGGGATTTAGTCTTCAAAAAAAAGGGACTTTGCCTAGTAATGGATTTTCCGGTTGATATAACGTCAATGTAGTGGGAATGTATTCGGTGGGTATAAACCCACCTATGATGTGTAATTCAGTATAATCCAACAATCATGGGGATCCAATTGTGATATTTGGTGGATATATAATGGATATGCAATGGTATAATGGGGATAACAATGGGAATGTCATGGGGATATAATTTCACTCACCAACAAGCATGGTGTAATGGGAATGGGATACGGCTCTAGCAATGGGTATGGCAGTGCCAGCTGTTTTGATGCGAACAAAACGCTAGGGTTTGGATCCATACCCATTGATGGGTGATGTACTGGCAGGAGATTGAGCCAATGAGAACGGATACTGTAATATTATCGGATGCCCTCTGGTATTTTAAGATAGCTATTGAAAATGGTCATTTATAGTTGATTTATCTATGAAAAGTGGGGATTTTCCATAGCTACGTTCGTTTACCAGAAGGTAATATTATCGGATGATATTATCACAAAGGATAAATGAATATAAATGACATATGATAGATTCTGATAGATGATTTCCCCATTGAAACCTCCATTGATTTTGGGGATTTCCTGGCCACGTTTGACCATCCCGAAAGTGAAGACACAATGTGACAATATCCGTGCTATTTTGGGATATGAATCCCTGCTTTTTTTGTGCAAGTGTGTGTTTTGACCCACATTAAGACAAGAGGATATCTATTGGAACTCTATACTGAATTTCTCTAAGTCTATTTCTATAGCTAGATGGAAATCTATTGGTGTATATCTAGAGCATTCTAGAGCTATATCTGTATGTTTTATTTGCAACTTTTGAGCCCCACCATTCAGGTACTTAATCATTGAACCAAATTGCTGAGGTTGCTGGAAGATCCCAAAGATAAATACATAACCGATTTGTTGATTTCGTCACCGCATTTTTTGTTGCGACATTGTACATTTGCTGATAACTATATATAATTGTGTATATATATATATACATTTATATTATATTAATATATGTAGAGATATATATAGAAAAAAACATGTGATTATATGTTGATTATATATGTTATAGACCACCCCACGATTCTTAGACTATATAATCAATTATCCTTTTTGGTCGGCTAAACCATCATTCTTGTTGGCTACATGCACACCCCTGTTGTTGTGGTTGCACGCAAGCATTTTGTAGGCTGATTCCCGTTGCATTGCTTCAATGACAACCAGTTTGTTGGTTAAGTCAAATCTGCGTCTTTGTCAATCATAGATAATCCAAATTAAAACCCAACATGTTTCTGGTATTTTCTGGCGATGTGACATTATGTGCATGTGTGTGGCTTCACAGTCCATGTTCGTCTCGTTGCCAGGGCTCTTCTTGTTGCCATCCGGTGGCGCAACCGCTTGAGGCGCCACCGTGGACGATGGGAACTCCTGAACTTTCCTCAGTGTGCCATGGCCGATTCAGATTCCCCTATTTTGATGAGTTCATAATTTCCATGAGCGTGTCATGGCCAAAGTGTCAGTGCCATTGTGGTAGTAAAAAACTCTTTCTCGAATAACTCATCAACCAGTATTTAGGACACTGCTGAATTGGGAGAAAGGAAACAAGCTCGGGATATCTGGGCAACCAAGAACTGGGACGCATTGAGCACTCAAGGTCAAGCCGAACTTGAACATGGGGAAACTACAGTCAACTACAACCTCCGGAAGCACTGACTAGTTGACATTGAACAGTTGCCATTTGGATGATCAGCACCGCCATGGTACTGTCTAATCCCCAACTATGCCGACTATAACTCTCCAAAGCTCAGGTGTTGCCAAATTGGAAATATGTTGAGCTTTTTTGGAGCAGATCGCTACTAGTTTCGTCACACTGATCGCCAAACTATATAATTACATTAGACGTGTTGTATATTAGAATTTACCTCATTGTTGGGCAACTTGGGGATGCATCTCCCAAAAGAATTCCGGAAATCCCGGAGGCAATTTCGGAGAACATGGAAATGCTTCATACACATCCTTGGTTACCTTGGCTTGTCCAAAACACTTTCAGGAAACCATTCGAAGCACCTTTGAATTGCCAACATCAAGGAAACCCAAAAAAGAAAAGATATTATCTTTGGTTATCTTTGGCCACATCCAAAATTATCCCAGAAATCCAACAGTTTTGAATTGGTTCTATTACCACAACCTGAGTTTCTTCGGTGGCCCTTCTGGCCGATGGATCGGCTCGCTGGCACCTGAGAACCACAATTTGACAATGGCAAGTCCATCATGGGTGTATTTACAATGAATAATTAAAAATATGAATCATAATATATATACGGTATACCGGTGGATTTAAAAAGGCGTCGGATCGATCTCTAAGGTATATCTGCACCCAAGTGTGGAGAACTGAACAGATATCATAGTTGTTTCACTACTCTACTTTTACTAATAACAATACTAATAGAATTACCTCTATATAAATACATTCAATGCTGCTCAATTCGTTCGGCAGTAATCTGTTCAATCCTTTCAAGAAAACGAACTGAATTGCAGAAAACGAACTGAGAATTGAAGATAACAAAGAAACGGTGTTCTATTCTAGCACTCCAGAAATTGTGTCTAAAATCATCCAAGATCCAAGAGAGAAAAAAATGTTGCTCAGCCACCAATATCAATGTTTTCAGAACATGTGAACATTTTCTCAGGACATTGTGGGTCAAGGTCAAGAATTGTCAACATGTCTGATATTGATCCAATGCCTGCCACCTTCACAAACTCAAAGAACTGTTCATTGTGTGATGATGACTGGCCTTGCTGCTGCTTCTGCCACCTTCACAAATTAATGCAATGTGCAATGTTCAAAATGTTGCTATGTCTGTTCTGTCTGCCGTTGCTCCTATCATGTGCTTGTCAACGTCACACATTCAATGCAATTCTCCAAAGTTTCAGCTTCTTTATTGTTATTGGTGGGAGGGGGCGATGGCATCTATATAAACACGAAACTACAGACACAAAAAATAAAACAATGTGATCGACTGAAAATCATGTACATTAGAATATTCACTCATCCACCTTGCAAAGGAAGCACATTTTCCATGCTGATTCCGCCACTTCGCCGTGGATCCGAGGGACTTCGGACAGGTGGCGCCAGCGCCGAAGTAAGCGGCGCTGCCAAGGATTGGCTGCGGGTCATGCTTCGAGTGACCTGAGGCGAGGCGCCAACATGGTGCAAATGGACTGACAAATGGGGTCCTTAATCAAGTTCATATATATAATAATATACAATAATATATATATATATATGTCTATATGAATATATATATATAAATACATAATATATATATATATGTATACATAATATATATATATACATAATATATATATATACAAAATATATACATATATAATAATAATAGTAATAATAATATATATATATATATATAAATACATACTATATATATATATATACTAATATATTTAATATATATATATATTTAAATACATACATATATATATATATATTGTAATAATATATATATAATATATATATATATACAAATATATATATATATATCTATCAAACTTCTATATATATATATAATAATATATCTACAAAAATATCCTCCAATTAATGGGAATAATGACCAACAAAGGTGGGTATGTCATTTCTATAAGCCGTCCATCATAGAGCCAGGCCAATCATTTTGACCACCATGAGCAGGGTGGAGACCATCTTCCGAAGTGAGTAGTGGTAAGTTGCCACAAGCATGCCATTTCTTGGTTGGGATGTGTATCAACATCATGGGAAAATTCCCCCCAAGCTGATGGGTGCTCTTCTTTTAACCGCTAAAACAAATGTGTGCTACTGATAGTATCATGTATCATCTATAGATTTTGTATGATTTTGTCGCACTGGGTCTCATGTGATCCCTGACTTAGTGGTTGTCGTGATCCCTTTCCGCAATTTATCTCCAATCCTCAATCCGTGGGCTCCCTTCGCCCACTGTAGCCACTGAAAACTCGACTCCTGAGATCCCATTTAATGTTGCGGAAATGTCCATCCACATTTTTTTCTGCAATCTGTATCTAAATCATAAGATGGATTAACACATATTAACACCCCACAATCTGGTCGGTTGATAAAATGTATCCCAGTTTTATCTAGTCATTTTTGTTCATTGCAGTCAAAAGATCCAAGAAATGTCCACAACAAATATGTCAAAGAATGCTTGTCCATACTTTTAGGCAGGTACCAGTGAGATTCACCATCTTCCAAGTAACTCTCCGGGTCGGAGGCACTTTGGGCTGCGCTTTTGCAGCGGTTTTCTTCACGTCTGCCTGAGACTCAAATGGCAAGATCGGGCAACCCATGGTCGTTGCCCGTCCGGACAATGATCTACACAGATTGTTCTTTCCATATCCACGAAAATGATTGATACCCTCTGGTGAACTAACAGTTTGCAATTGAAAATGGCCATTTATAGTGGATTTTCCCATTAAAAATGGTGATGTTCCATTGCTATGTTAGTTCACCAGAGGGTAATATACCGTACTGTGTGTATGTTCAGCTAAACCAAACTGGTAATAAAGAATTTTTGTCATTAATTAGGAATGTTCTCCAGAAAACAATTGGAACATTCATTGCCATGGTCCAGAGGGTTTTGAATTCATTTCAAGATGATTTTTTTATGTGATCTTCAAAATCCATATCTATCATATCTCAAAATATATTCTCATAAAATGTCATGAAACAAATCATAGGATCTACTGTAATTCCTCTGTAATAATTCCTCTCAAGTTGGCCGGACTGGCCTTTGAGGAGCTCGAAGTCTTTCCTGCGGAAAGGCCCCCAATTTTTTTTAAAAGGGGATAGCATGGGATACCTAAGAAATGGTGAAATGAAGTGAAATATAGATCACAATCACTATCAAATGATTATCAAATGAATAAGGAAACACTGTTCATGATTTCTTCATCTTGAAAACTGTATTTCAACAAACATGTTGTACTTCACTTTATGGTCTTGTGTTCTTCCCAATCTCCACCAAGGCTCAGCCAATTCCGGCGATCTGAAAGGTCAATGACACAATGGATTACCCTCTGGTTATGACTAACAGTTCGCCATGGTTAAGCCAGGCCCTAATCGAAATAGATGGTTTACCGAACTTAAAAATGGTGATTTTCCATGGCGAACTGTTAAATAACCAGATGGTAAATAGAATGAATCAATACTTTAGGGATGGCATATCAACCCCTGCACACAATAGAACTAAACATCTGATTTTCCAATGATTTCCTACAATTGCTTTTCCCTAAGTTCTAATTTGTTTATCGCCACGAGACTCGTGAAATCTCAATTACGAAACATACAACTATACTGTAGCTGTAGGCTATTACTTGCAACCTAAGTCTATTTGGTGTGCCAACCCATCAAGAGGTGTTTCTCCCTAACATTAAACACGCCGAAAAACCTGCTTTAGTGTCGGGTTTTCCTCAGAATTGGGATAGTGTACCCATTTGTACCCTTCTCACCATTGATTTGCCCATTAAAACTGACCAATAAGTTACTAGTAGATAATACTTTGGGGTCCCCCATTTTAGGAAACCTCCGAAATTCAAATTGTGTGTAATATCCTATATTAGACCTGATGATATCGCCATATCCATTATTTGTTGGAAAAATGACCATATTATTAGATTTCCACATTAGATTTCCATATCTATCTATCTATCTATCTATCTATCTACCTGCCTACCTACCTATCTATCTATCTATCTATCTCTCTATTCTGTTCTATTCTATTCTATTCCATACTATACTATACTATACTATTCCATAGTATACCATACATTACATTACATTACATTACATTACATTGTATTACATTACATACATTACATTACATTACATTGCATTACATGACATGACATTACATTACATCATTTTACATTACATTACATGACATGACATTACATTACATCATATTACATTACATTACACTACACTACATTACATAACATTTTATACATACATACATATATTATGTGAACCACCAATGCATCAATGGATTGGTTTAACGGAACATCTACAGGAAACCATTGGGTGTCCTGCAGATTTTCCCCTCCAATTCCAGGAATTAAAACGCATCCTTGGACTTCATAATATATATTAACTATTAATGGGTATATTAACATTAACTTTCATAATGAAGTATATTAATTAATATATGTTAATATACCCACAATTATTGTTGGCTGATATCCACAAGTACATCTATATATTTGTATACATCTATGCATATTAGATTTCAAGATTTGTTGCTACATCGAAAATGAGCCCTTTGGAATTCTGGCTGGCGGTTTCAACCCATGGAAAATATGCTCGTCAGTTTAGATTATCCCATTGCTAGGCTTGAAATGTTGCCAAAAAATGAAACCACCCACCAGATATTATAGAACATATATACCATATATACCATCCATTGACCATCCATTAACCATATATACCAAAAAAATCTGTTTGCCCATCAAAACCCCCAATTTAGACACCCAGTGTTTTTCATACCATATTTTGATGATACCATCATTGATGCTATCCTCATTTTCATTGGTTATATAAGTGGTTGGTGGTTGACCTACCCTCTGAAAAATCATGGAGTGAGTAACAGTTGGGATGATTATTCCATTCCCAATATGATGGGAAAGTCAATCCAAAATTCCATGGTTCCAGTCACCACCAACCAGATATTATAGAACATATATACCATATATACCATCCATGAACCATCCAAACCATATATACCCTTAATAATCCTTAATAGCAAGCTGTTAGATGCATTTTAAAAAAAAAAGGTCCTGGTGCGGTCAATGCGTTTTGGTGGGCGTCGTTGCCGTGGAGGAGGTCATGCCTCAGATCCCTCAGATCCCAGGTACCACCGTGACGTTACAACTGGTTAAAGGTGTCACCAACAATTCACCAACCTTTACCCATTTTTATGCGTTATAATGATTATACTCATCCTGTAGATAGAATATGATAGAATATGATAGAATATGATAGAATATGATAGAATGTTCAAAAACACTCCCATTGTAGTAAGTTGGTTGAAATGCTCCAGAAGATTATTTATATATAATGTTGATGGTGAAATCCCTAAAAAATATAAAAAAATATATAGAAAATATAGAAAATATAGAAAATATAGAAAATATAAAAAAATATAGATAATATAGATAATATATATATATAGATAGATAGATAGATAGATACATAGATAGATAGATAGATAGATAGCTAGATAAATAGATAGATAGATAGATAGATAGCTAGCTAGCTAGATAGATATAGATAGATAGATATTGATAGATATAGATAGATAGATAGATAGATATGGATAGATAGATAGATAGATAGATATAGATAGATAGATATAGATAGATATAGATAGATATAGATAGATATAGATAGATATAGATAGAAATAGATAGATATAGATAGATATAGATAGATATAGATAGATATAGATAGATATAGATAGATATAGATAGATATAGTTAGATATAGATAGATATAGATAGATATAGATAGATATAGATAGATATAGATAGATATAGATAGATATAGATAGATATAGATAGATATAGATAGATATAGATAGATATAGATGGATATAGATAGATATAGATAGATATAGATAGATATAGATAGATATAGATAGATATAGATAGATATAGATAGATATAGATAGATATAGATGGATATAGATAGATATAGGTAGATATAGATAGATATAGATAGATATAGATAGATATAGATAGATATAGATAGATATAGATAGATATAGATAGATATAGATAGATATAGATAGATAGATAGATAGGATAAGATAGGATAAGATAGGATAAGATAGGATAAGATAGGATAAGATAGGATAAGATAGATAAGATAGATAAGATAGATAAGATAGATAAGATAAATAAGATAAATAAGATAGATAAGATAGATAAGATAATAAGATAGATAAGATAACAAGATAGATAAGATAACAAGATAGATAGATAGATAGATAGATAGATAGATAGCTAGATAAATAGATAGATAGATAGCTAGATAGCTAGCTAGCTAGATAGATATAGATAGATAGATAGAGATAGAGATAGAGATAGAGATAGAGATAGAGATAGAGATAGAGATAGAGATAGAGATAGAGATAGAGATAGAGATAGATAGATAGATAGATAGGTAGATAGATAGATAGATAGATAGATAAATAGATAGATAGATAGATCGATAAATAGATAGATCGATAAATAGATAGATAGATAGATCGATAGATAGATCGATAGATAGATAGATAGGTAGGTAGGTAGATAGATAGGTAGGTAGATAGATAGATAGGTAGATAGATGGATAGCTGGATAGATGGATCGATGCATAGATGCATAGATGGATAGATGGATAGATGAATGGATAGATGAATGGATAGATGGATGGATAGATGGATACATGGATAGATGGATAGATGGATAGATAGATAAATAGATAGATAGAAAGATAGATAGATAGGTAGATAGGTAGATAGATAGATCGATCTATAGATAGATAATGATAGATAATGATAGATAATGATAGACAATGATAGATAATGATAGATAATGATAGATAATGATAGATAATGATATATACTGATAGATAATGATAGATAATGATAGATGATGATAGATAATGATAGATAATGATAGATAATGATAGATAATGATAGATAATGATAGATAATGATTGATAATGATTGATAATGATAGATAATGATAGATAATGATAGATAATGATAGATAATGATAGATAATGATTGATAATGATTGATAATGATTGATAATGATAGATAATGATAGATAATGATAGATAATGATAGATAATGATAGATAATGATAGATAATGATAGATAATGATAGGACAGGACAGGATAGGATTAGATTTGATTAGATAGATATATGTATATATAGGCTCGTCCAGGCTTCTGGAACTACATACGATGGGGTAAAGGGGTGGGGTGGGATGTTAACGTTCATGTGAACTTTCGGCAGCAGTTGATGCTACGCACACGCGGGGTGGGGGGGGGGGGGGTGGGATGTTAACGTTCATGTGAACTTGCGGCAGGATGTTAACGTTCATGTGAACTTGCGGCAGCAGTTGATGCTACGCACACGCGGGGGGGGGGGGGTGGGGTGGGATGTTAACGTTCATGTGAACTTGCGGCTCGATGTTAACATTCATGTGAACTTGCGGCAGCAGTTGATGATGATGTGATGATGATGATGATGATGATGATGATGATGATGATGATGATAATGACCCTAATGAAACTTGTTAATTCCGCGACGAAATTTCGTCACGGAATGGACAAGTTTTACCAACCTAATTCAGGTTTGCGCAGTTCCAGAAGCCTGGACGAGGCTATATATACGTATATTAATCATTCTGGTTGTTTGGCCACCCAATTGTTCCTCGAAAATTAAAAACCACTGAGTAGCAACTTGCCGATGAAACTCATGGCGTCCTCGTCCACCTCCAGAGTCATCACCTAGAGGTGATCCAAGCTGCTGACAGGTGGCACTACTGGAAAAAAAAACAGCAAAGATGGAGGGATTTACTATTTAAAAAATGGAGGGGACCCTATGAAAAATATGGAGGTTTTTTGGCTTTATCATGAAAAGTGATGAAACATGGAGGTTTTACCATGAAAAATCACGGCTTACTATGAATAATTACTAGAGGTGTTACCAAGAAAAATGGAGGTTTTAGCGTGATAAATGGATGCTTTGGCATAGAAAACATCACCATGAAAGATTGGGATTTGAGCATTAAAAATGGCTGTGTAAGCAGCACACATAGGGATATGAGATTATGTGAGTTAGTTTGTCTAAGAGTGAGGAAAAGGCCCCAGTAGCAAGTTCAATAAGAACATGACAAACCCATGGAGTTAGGGTACATAATTTTTAGAGAAACGGGCAGGTGCCTGTAATCAAACGTGGCTTGATTGAAAATTTCGCAGCCAATCCCAGCCATAAATATTTGGGTGGTTGAAGGGGAAACCATCGACAAATGAGGGCATTCTCCTCGGCACCATCTTTGATTGCCCTCTAGGACAAACGCAGATAGGATTATATAAACTAGGGAGATAAAAACAACAAAACATATAATATGATATAATATGAAGCAATTAATGTTCATCTGGTTGAAAAATGACTTATCTGGTTGAAGAATAACTTTAAGAAATATCTGTCAATTGTGATCTCGTTGAAAGATATCACCAAGCAAACATTGGGATGGTCTGATCCAAAATTCAAAAAAGAAGGCACACCCTTTGCATTTCATTGCCTTTCAACTAAGCCCACCCTGGATCTTTTCAAGTTCAGGTGCTTGCTGTTGATCAATCCTCGGTGCTGGCAACCTATGAAATTGCATTCCCCGTTTCCAGATCCAGGTCTACTGCGATCTAAGTGTTTTCACTGCTGGTTTACATCAAATGAAGTTCAAAACCTCAAACAATGATATTCCTGATCACGACAGAAAAAATACCGACTTGCAGGTGGGTGGAACATGTCGGACAAGTGCAGCAGATTGCAAACCCAAAAAGGGCCACAATTGGCTCCGTCGACTTTGGGAAACTATAAATTACATCATCTGAAAAGTCGGACATCATTTCAACACATAAACGGACGTCCTCCCGTTAGGAGTATCCAACTGGTTGGACACCAATTTGTGCAACGAGCCTCGATTTGGCGATTTCGGGAGGAATGGCGCGCAACACCATCGCAGCATAGGGGTCAATTCCAACTTGCAACGGCCATTGGGCGCTGCTGGGGCGGTCCTTGTGCATCAAAATTTCCTTGGCGAAGCGGCTGGACAAGGATCGGTGGATAGCGAGGATGTCATTATCACATTCTCATCACGACAATCGTCATTGTCATCATCAGTATCATCACCAACAGCAACACAATCAACAGCAGCAACAGTTTCTTCATCTAGCATGGTCCATGTGGTAAGGGTAGCCTCATCGTTTGGAACCAGAACCTATCCAACCTATCCAACCACAGAAGTCCAGGGCCCGTGCTTGGAACTGCTCAGAACACATCCAGTTCCACTGCCTTTGAGCTGGTCCTTGTTCTTGTGGTTTTTACATCTTGAAAACCAAAACATCAATCAGATTCAAACACATTTTCTACGAGAGAAAATTGGCCTCCAATTGCCTCAAAATGGGTTCCGCAGCTCTAGGTACATGCGTATAACAAGAACAATGATGTGAAGGCCGCCAAAATCTACAGAAGTAAGTTACCCATATGTCAGAATCAAGTTTTTGCTTTCCTGTTTTTTGGGGGTTGCTGTAATATCACCAATCAACTTTAAGGTTGGCGTTCTTCTGCGGAACACAGCGACAAGTTTCTGGAAGAAGAAGACACGCCCATGGTACTTCCATCACTTGGGCAACACCTGCAGTAATCCACACATCCAACTGGGGTACGGTATATTCATATTCCCAATAGAATTGCCGATTGCCATGTAAAAAAGTTTGAAAGCATGGGATGTATTTTCAGACAAAGCCACGTAACGTAGTCCTAGGCAAAAACGACATATCGAGTGATTGTCAGATGTGGATCAAACTTGCCACTCCAAACACCTGGAAAACAAAAGTCTGCAGGAGGGTTCCCAGGATCTCCGCACCTGGAAACTCCAGCGAAAAACTGTGTTTCGTCAGCATCACCTGGAGGGAATGGAGATCAAGGATTCTGGAAAAGGTTTAAGCAATCAAAGACAACATAAAGGTTTAACCCGCCAAACAAAACAAATAAAAACAAAAATTAACTGTGAATGATACTGTAATGCATGATATAACTGGTACACAAAATATCAACGGGTTGTTTATGGTTGTTTCATGTTTTCTGCCACATCACATCATGTATGGTGAGGCCATTAATTACATGTATAACTGTCAGAACTGTATAACTCAAATCATCCGGATATGGATGATATGGCCACAGTGTGACACTCATAAGTTCAATCTTCAAAAAAATGGGCAACATACCAAGAGAAAACTAACAACAACCTCTGTGGATTTTGTAGGATTTCTGCGATTTACCCGTTGGTAATCTTTTAACATAATAGTTGTGGAAAATCACCATCTTCAATAGGTAGATCATCGAACGAAAAGTGCCATTTTCCACTAATTATGTTTTATAATGGTTTATATTGTGGAAAACATAATCCATAGAGGTTTGTATTATTTCTATAGAGGTTTGAATGGATTATGTTTCTATAGAGGTTTGTTTTATATTGCCGGAGGACATAATCCATTCAAACCTCCATAGAAATTCATAGATGTTCTTTTCCCTGAAAGCCTGGCCCCAGTGGCCCGGGGATTTTCAATGATTGTACAGGATGGTGCCCCCAGTGATGTTTGTTGGTTAACCCCCATGAACGAGTTCGTTATATCTACCATAAACATCCATAAACCATAGTTCATTCAGCCACAGCCATATCTCAACTTGCTTTTTTTTATCTGGGGACCCCATCCACATGGTGAAACATCCGGCAGGGTACCCCTAGCGCCTTCACCTTCTCTTGGTTCAGGTGGCCCCAACGGAGGGCGCAAGTGCCTTGCAGAATGCCACCACCTCGTCGTCTTTGGGGCAGCGAAGTTCATCGGGAAAATGATGGCAAAACGAATGAAAACTATGGGAAAAGTGCGGAAAACCCGCACCCCAAATGAGAATCCATCCGCAATGGATAATGATTGGATGTGACTTGTAGGGATTTATCGCGGAATCCAGTGGATGGTTACAGAAATGGCCGGTCAAATCATCATCTTTGGTGAAAAAGCCGCGTTTTAAACCAAGCGATCATCCGGGTGGCCGCATTCAGACACTTCGTTCAGCATCTTCGCTTTTCTCGCGGGGAAATCCTGAAGCTGGTTCCGGACTCAGCTGGGGAAACCAGTGGTGAACCCGGATGGACATAACCGGTGACATGCAGGTTGGTGATTTCGGACTCTCGCGCATATCATTTTATATACATGTATGATATATGATATAATTATTAAGACATATTGACTATTAGTGATTTTGGATCATCCCAAGTAGGATGGAAAATAACATGATTTTGAAGCACCATCATACGACCCAAGATTCAAAAGTTTATCAGAACTCGAGTTGCCTGCAAGTGGGGGGGCTGACCTCCCGAGTTGTTGGAAGTTGTAGTATGACTCCATGAACAAGTGGCAAAATACATATCTTTTCTCGGAAGGCTCTTGGTGACTTTCTTGGTGCTCAAAACAGCTACAGCTACAGTTAACAAAGTGTATTTCATCAGCAGAAGCCATCCTGGTTAGGCTCCTTTCCTTGTAGCTCATGGTTTCAAAGGGAGCCCTACAACAAAGCCGCAAAGCCACCCAAAGCGGTGTTTGAAGGGACCAAATATATATATATATATATACATACATACATATTTGTGTGTGTGTCTGAAAATGGGGTATATACTTAATTACCCACAAGTTGTGGCAATTTAACAATCAGCATCCATCAACATCAACCACTAACCGCAATTACCCAATGATTTTTTTCGGGCTTTTCCCTTGTCAGACGGCCTAACGGTTCTCGTCCCAGTCCCGATCCTTTGGCGCCGTGTTCTGAATCATCTTGCCACAGGTCACCTCCTCGTGGCCGCAGGAGCAAAAGATATGATATGTATATGATATGTATGTGATATGTGTAAATATATAATATATATAATATACATCTATATAATATACATTATATCTGTATAATCTATATATGATTAGTTGTTCGTATTTTGGAATTTCTTATTGTGTAAGTTTTGGAGGTTCATTCGCAACCCATGGCTTTTTTTTGGGCTTAGCAACAGAACAGCCATCTGGCTTGTTGGTGATTAAATCATTCCTGCAACTACTTCCCAGGGACCTCAGGATTTGACTTCAGACCCTGCATCTTGGGGTCTTTCATGAAGTTAGCCAAGGGTTGTCTAGGTTTATCAAGATTCAGTGTAGACCTTTTGGCCCGGCGTGTTAGGAAAGGTCTTCCATGTTTTTTCACCGTCAAGTTAACATAGAAGGCTGAGTGGGTAACTTCACTTTAGACCTTTTTTCCTCTATGCAAGATGTGATCCAACATGTGCCATCATGTTTACACACATGGTAGATCATGTTTACATTTGGTTCATTGGATTTTACACCAATATGCTGGGACAAATTGTTTCATCACAGTTTAGACTGGTTATCTCAGCTGTACAGGGCATGTTCTTTACATGGGTGGGTCTGAACTGGTGGCTGGAGACTTTGTGCGGTGTCATGCCTTTGTTTTGGGCCCTGGAAGAAAAGGAAAGACCTAGGGACAAAACCTGATAATTTTCTTTTACTAGATTGCGGTTCTGGCAGTTGCTGTTTGAATGCAATGGCTTTGTTGTAGTTGCACCTTTGCTTCCTCGCTGCAGGTGATGGTCTCTCCACCGAGTCCAAAGCAGGCATGGGTCTGAACTGGTCTTTGGGGACTCTATTCCACCCTGTGATTCGGGGAAAGGTCCTGGAGAATAGTAAAGGACCCCAAAGATATATTATATATTATATGCCATCATGTTTACACACATAGGAGTGTCACTCTGGCTCTTGAAGATCTGACAGTTTCATACAGTTTCCCGAGAAACCAGTTGCTTCAAAAAAAGAAGTGCCGAAAAATTATGGTGGCCCAACATAAGCTCAACATAGCAACATAAGCCATCAAGGTTCAAAAGGTCTAAGATGAAGTTCTTTGAGGGTTTAATGAAAATTCAGGCAAAGGTCTGGAATGGTATTACCGCCGTAACTTGCGTGGGTCTGAAGTGATCAAGGCCCAAAGGTCTAAAGTGAAACCGTTACCATTCCAGACCCTTCCTAGGAAAACCCTTGAGGGTCAATCATTCCAGACCTTAAGTAGTTGAGGGTATATTAAATCCCTAGTTTTGCTGGATAAATCTCCGTGTTTCTGAAAGGCAAAAATTCCCATTGTTGGTTGCCAGCCTGGTCAAACCATCTTCCACCCCCGGCCTCCAGAAATTTCACCTCAGCCCGCTGCAGAGAGATGAGTTCTCTAGTGATATGAAATATAATGATATTCTATATAGTATATAGTAATGGGCTATAAAAAATATTAAATACCCAACATAGTGATATATAGTTCTCTAGTGATATTATAGTTGTATTTTGTAAAAAACATATTTGAATTCAATACTATAAGGATCTATACGGTGTTATACGGTATGAATCGTTCACGATCCACGCTGATTTTTAGAGCTCCGAACATCCGTCATACACCACTTTTGCTTGGGGCATCTTTTATTGATGAGAGAAAATCATCATTTTTGGAGGCTTCCCCATTTTGTTGGTTCAATTTCCATGTGTGTCGAATTCCAACTTTCGTTGGTGCTATAAATAATCTTCCCCATGTTGGTTAGCAAATGTTTTTTCATGCTGGATGGTGAGCACGTTCATCTTTGATTCTGGTTGGTAAACGTCTCATATTCCAACCATGACAAATTCTGTGCTTTGGGCTGGTGCTATTGACCAAGGGGTGATATCCCCACTGAAACACTGGAGTTCACACGGCCATCTTGGACTACCTCCTTGAACACCCCCGTCTCATCCCAATGATGTAGAAATGCTCTATGCCTTAACTATGGCACTATGGTTTATGGTACAGTAGATAACACAAACTAGTTCATGGGGTTTATAAACTTTCATGTTCAAAAGATGTAAGATATAGATAAACAATTCATTTATAAGCTTTATAAACTTTATAAACTTTATAAACAAACTTATAACTGGGGGGCACCATCCTGTACTAAAACCATGCTTTCTCTCTGGCTGTTTCTGATTGGGTGATGGGATTTGGACGTCCGAGGTACCAGGAACTGAGGTCGCTGGATGGTCTCACCAGCTTTGCAGTTCTTGGTGCGCCGGGTGATCTGCCACAGCAGCTCCTGTTTTTTTCAACGTGGAGCACTTTTCGGGGGATACCCGGCCTGGTAAATGTTGACATTACCAACTGGAAAATCACCATTTTTCATGGGAAAACTCACGATTTCTATGGCCATTTTCAATAGCTATGTTAAATTACCAGAGTGTAACATTGATTAAAAAAAAAAAAACATATCTAAACTCCCGCAGAAATTCGGATTATTTTAGTCAAGAGTGATAAAGATGACAAAAATTGCATTGGTATAGTACAACCGGGATACAATATGATACAATGATGGGATACAATCAACTATCAACTATCAATCGAGATACTTTGATGATAGAATTAAGAGTGACAAAGTATCAACTATCAACCAACAATAATGGGATATCATCGGGATACAACGGTGGAATTCAAGGGAACAATCTGATATTTGGGTGTGTGTCTCCCGATATTAACGGTTATTCGAATAGGGAAATATGTTGTTTTAAACCTTGGGATGAAAATTTCTGGCACCCGATATTCAAATAAACCCAGTTGTAAGGGGTAGTTGCAGTAACCCTTGACTAACAAATGGCAGTAAACCGTATAACCACGCAACATAGTGATCTCTAGAATAATTTATGAACAGCTGCACCCCACCCAGCTACTTACCCATATCACGGCTTCCTGCAGAAATGAAATATCTAGCGGTATATCCGATGTTACGGCCATTTGAAAATTGGCAAAAGGCTAGAGAATAGAAATGAAAAATGGTACCCTCTGGTTATTTAACATAGCCATGGTATAGATGGCCCATAGAAATAGATGGTTTACCTATTAAAAATTGATGATTTTCCATGGCAAACTGTTAGTCATAACCAGATGGTATGTTTGCAGAATCCCCATCGATCTTAAGTGAACCCTCCGTGGATCTTTTGTAAAAATCCAGCGGTTGATCATCATGTTCTCCATGGCATGCCGAAACGGGATCGATTTTTAATACTATACCATACTATACCCATTACTACCCTATATGGTAAACTCAAATAGGTATGGAAAATCACTATTGTAATAGGTAAATCATCTAAAAATGGTCAATTGTCCATAGCGATGTTAGTTTCATGGAGGGTAGGATTTTTATGGAATTTCCCAGTATCGCCAAGGTTCTAAGCAGAGCTGCTGTCGCGCCGCGTCGGACCCGCAGCGTGCTTCGTGCCACAGAGCCTCTGTTGATGCTGCGGCTCTGCAAAATATGTGGGGTATAGGAATGGACATTGGGGTACAATTACTCAATATTGTATCATATAGGGCTTATACATATACTATGCCTAAAAAAACATAAAATATACAATATGGTGTATATGTACATTATATACTAATATTGCAAGCCATATGGGGTATAGGATAGTAAAACATCCCATCAATATCCATTCATATCCCATCAAATCCAAATTTTGAATGCTTAAATCCAGCTTTTCACCCTGGCTTCGCCTGAAAATCAACCCATCAACCAACTCGTCGGCCTTGCAAGTCTCTTCCTTGCAGAGTCGGGCTGTCCCTCCTTGCCCTGCGCGTTTCGATTGAGAACGGGTTTCCACTTCTGGGTCATTCCCCTCTGGTAAACTACTATGGAAAATCACTATCTTTAATGGGTAAATCAACATTATGTTAAATTAACAGAGGGTAATACTGTGGATGGTTGCGAAATCCACCAGTTGGTAACTATTGGTAACTATTAAACCCTATAAATATAATGGGATAAAAATGTTAAAATGGGATAAGCAATCTACCAACTGGTGCAGGATTTCGCAACCATCGCTGTAGGTCATAGTTTCCAGTAAACCTGTTAGTATAAAACACCTATTTGCAAATTATACTAAATTACAATGACGTATCAACAGGAATTTTGGTCACTGTTTGGGATCATCATGCTAAGTAGGGCTGAACAAAAACATCAACGAGATTACTAAAAAGACCAGGAAAGGTGGAAAATCACTGGGACATGGTACCATGATATTTCTGTGCCTGTAAAATGGCCGGAAATTCCGTTTGGTTAATCAACTCGATGCGCCATTTGTTTTGGATATGAATCAAACGACGGTGGGGGATAAGAATTGTCATTGTGAAATCAGTGATTCCGACTGCCTTCGGCTTGCCTACCAAACGCCCATGGAAAAAATCATCCCTGCATTTCCATCCTGAAAATTGGCTGAGGTTGGGTTAATGGAAAACGACCAAGGTTAGGATCATAAGAACGAAGTCATGAAGTCGTCCAGATCATTTGCAAAACCGGCAGGTCAGCTGTGCAAAACCGACAGATCTTTATTCCCGCGATGAATAGATGAATAGACATCAAACATCCAATTCCAAATCTCACCGTGTCCCATTTTATCCCTGTATTTGATCCAAATTTACCACCAAATATCAGGAAAATTCAACACATCCTTCCCTTCCAGCAGTTTCATGCTGTTTCTCCATGTCTTTTCTGGTGTCCCAAGGGGCACCGCCAAGTGGCATCCCAATTTGCTGGCCGCATTCAGTGCATGGCACAAGAGTTGCGTCACGGCTCTGGAGACTTTCCAGCGGCAGAAGTGGCAGAGATCCTGGCGACGCACTGGTGACCCAGGGATGAGCCGATGTATACCGTTTGTATATAACAAACATATACATATATAGTTATATATATATATATGTACAGTATACAGTGTAAATATATATATATATAGACGTGTAAGTGTATATCATTATCACTATATTGTATTGTATAAAGAACGTACTGTAGATATTGCGTATACTGATTTATCATGATTTATATATAGTCATCCTTAAGTAGTGGTGGAACCTGAAGTAGATGTGGAATTTCGATATTTCCAATATTATATCTTCTCCACATCTCATCTATTCTTATTATAATGCAAAAAAAACATAATAGTCCATAATGATTAGTACATAACTTTGGAATATTAGAATTCCAATACATATCACATATAGCCATACATGTAATATGGCTATACATTTCACATGCTAAATCATGACTATCTCATATGCTATATACAACAATTCCACATAAGAATGCATTAGTAATATTAGTATAGTAGCTGTGTAATCATAATCATCCCACCATATCCCAAAAATACCCAAAAAAATGCCAAGCCTCAAAGTAGTACATATAGCATTTGTACGATCGTCCCATACCAGGTCCCATAATCATTCCATCATTCCATTATATCAAGATCCTAAGTCATACATACATGTCCAGCTCATGTATAATATCATCCAATAATCATCCCGTTGTAATGGAATATTAAGATACCAGGATACATATCCCATGCATGTTTGTGTGATATTCCATAGATGTGGGAGGGGGAGGATAGGATACATGTCATCCCGTCTACTCATGATGATTTCATACTGTGCCATAAATATCCCCACCATAAAGGTCTAGCCACCTCGTGAAACATCCGAAAAAACATCCCATGGCCATATCACATAAATATCCCATGTAATGTTGGTAAAACACTAATAAACCATCCCCAAGTTCACCAGAAATAGGTGCTATAAACCATTCCCAGAGTTGCCAAATGGCTGGTTTTACCCCATGGTCATCATCCACATCCCACAGATGTATATACATGTGACATGAATATCCCATAGATATCCCATACAAATATCCCATAAATCTCTCGTAAAAATATCCCAGAGATTATCCATGAATCATCATCCACATCCTGGGATATTTATGGGATATTTATGGGATACAGTATTTATGGGATTTTTGTATGGGATATCTATGGAACTATGGAATATGTCCAGTATATTTATGTTATATTCATTCCAAATTCCCAGAAATAGGTGGTGTAAACCATTCCCGCCAAACTTGCCACATTGGTGGTATAAACTATTCCCAAAGTTGCCACATGGTGGTATAAACCTTTCCCAAGTTGCCAAATGGATGGTATAAATTATATTGAATTATTGTTTTACACCCATGGTAATTATCCACATCTGCATGTGACATGAATATCACATACAAATATCCCATAAATCTCCCATAAATATCCCAAAAATATCCATTAATCATCCACATTGTGGGATATTTATGGGATATCTATGGAACTATGGAATGTCTATGGGATAAAAAAAGGTAAATGTATGGGATATCTATGGAACTATGGAATATTTATGGGATATTTCCACAATCCACATCCTCCTATCCCCGTCCTGCAGTTTCTTCTGATCTGCATCCTCCACCGCTTCTCGCTGCGGCAAGGGCTGCAACACTGCCCGATGAATGGCCTCGCAGACCGCAAGGCCATCGCCTGGAGAACTTCGCGGGGATCTGGTGGGAGAATGGGGCGGAAACCACGTATTTTGATCATCCTAAATAAAGCTGATTGACCAAAATCATACGAAATTTTGGAGAATTGAAGAAACCAACCTGGGCATTTAAAGCTCCAGAATGGGAGATTTAAGGCATCGAAGGGTCCACTTAAGTAAACAACACCACCTGCGAAATTCAGGATTAAGCAACAAAGATGATCGCACATGTGTGGTTAGTTGATGAAAGTTTATCAGACAAAATGGGGATATAACTAGCAACCTTCAGGATTTAAGATGATCTGAACCACCAAATTGGGCTGATTTTGGGCATCTCTTGCAGTTTCTGTAGGACTACTAGATACTTGTCAACCACAGGGACAGCGACCATCAGAACCCACAACCAACGGCAACATCCAGCGGAACCAGCCTGAAGGGAACAGGCAATCAGCTACAGTGGCCTAGTGCGGCTGGAAAATCCTTCACGTCTTTAGTCCATGAACGAATGGTCCAACCAACGGTGATTTTCTAGCCATAAGATATCCTTCAAGCAATGGAGCATCTTATGGCATTGAGTCTGGTGAGTCTGGTGAATGTAGACTGAGCAACGTTTGGGCAAGGATTCATACCACAATGATCTCGCAAAGAGTCTCGCATGCAAAAACCCAGAGTAGACTCAGGATTCAGTAGACGGTATGGCGTATCCATAAAACAAGACCTGTTTTCAGAGAATGCCCTACCCCAAGAACAAGCATCATTTAAGGGAAGCTTGGTTGTTTCTGAAGATGATTGCACAAACCATAATTCCCAATTTTGGGATGATATCTTCACATAAACCAGTGGTAAACGCAATCACTTGGTATTTACCACACCAAACGATCTCTATTGAACTGGGAAAGCCATTGCAATTCGCAAACTGGAAAGGTTTGGATAAAAATATGATGATGATTATAATGACTGCCATACATTCCATATTCCCATCATTTTTGGTGAGACCGGACTGTGAGAAAAAATCAAAAAAGGTCATTGATGAGTTCTTTGTCACGATCCCAATTTTGGACAGTTCAACTCCCGAAATCCGAATGCTTGGTGCCTAGCTTCCAATGTTCAAGTATCTGAGTAAATTATAATATTTCACTAACCTGAATTAAGGCCATTTGGGGATCATTTCCCCTACTATGATTATAGTGAGGTCGCAGTGAGGTCGTTATAATTTACCCAGATGTCTGTTTGACCCTGGAATCCGCATTCCGCGGACCCCCCTCACTGTCCAAGGCGCAGCGTCACTGCAGTGGCAGATCTCCACAACCTTCTCAAAGCCCACGCAGAAATTCCTGGGTCAGGGCCGGATCCAGGCCAGGAGCTATCTTAGGGTCAAAAAGCATGGGGCAATCCTGATTTCAGACCAGTTTAGATGGAAAATCCACCAGCATTTCGTTTTTATCCTGGGCTGGGCCATGGTGGGCCTATGCCAGCCTATCAGCAGCAAGCTTTTTCTGCTGTCCATTGAGCCCAGAAAGTCACTTGAGTCACTTGACCCGACCAATTTCATCAAATGTCGTCCAGAAGGTCTATAACTCCCATGTCCACTGACCCCCACAGATGCCGAATTTCTGCAGAGAAATACACAATTGGATCTCATCCTGACGGCGGATTTTTGGATAGAACCCAGGCAGTCAAATCTGTTGGCTAGCGGCTAAGAATGGGATTCCCAGTTCATGAATTGTGATAGCTCCCAATATATCGAATAGTATGAATAGTATAACCACTTATAATAAGCCAAGAGGAATTCTGAAACCTGTTCAAATGACTCAGAGTTCAAATTTTAGGGCCCAAGAGGAACACAAATGTTGGTCGGCTTCAATGGCTTTACCCAAATGGACGTTCGTAGGACGGCTACGCATCTTGGTAACTTGTGGATGCCCACATCACCAGAATTTTGAACTGGGAAACCGCATTGCTTCCGATCATTGACCATGGTCCTATTTATTTCGGGAAGAATCAGAGATTATGTATGATTATGTGATATTATGTGTTTTCGTTCCCAATCAAGAGTCTACTTAGCTTACTTTGTTGCAAAAACATGACGGAAGATTTCAGACAATGTGTGATGGGTGTGATGGAAACTTCCTCTGCCTTAACCTCTGGCACTCATAGCCATAGAAAATGGATCCCTGAGATTCCGTAAATGGCGACGTAAATCATGCACCCGGCCTGGTCAACGGGCTAACATAACGAACTGGAAAGATCCACCATTTTCTTGTTTAATGGGTAAATCCACTATAAATCGATGGCCATGTTCAATAGGTTTTTGTATGTTTACCAGAGGCTAAGATCTATGAAGAAACCGAGGATTTCCCCCATTGCCAGCTTGGATTACCAGAGTATAGCAACGAAGATGCAGAACGTTGGAGTCTAAAAATTGGTGGTAGAATTATATAACCATGTGCTGTATAACCATGTGTATAACCATGTGTATATTACAATATCGTCTTTGGGGTTACTTAATGTTACTTATATTATATAATATATCTATACTAATACATTCATGGAAATAGATTCACTTACTTAGTACTTGGCCTACAGTAGATACCCTGCACCAAAGAAATAGTTGGTTAGTGAATATCCCTGTGTATAACAAAAGATTAAACTACCAACATCATCTTTTGCTGCCTGTTCTGTTCTTAGTCCACCCTTTGCTTCCCCTCTAAGAGGCTTGTTGGTGTGGCCGCAAACAGATCTTTGGCCGTTTGGCCCAAATCTTTTGGGTATCCACAAGTAAAAACCAGGCCTCACTTCATAGCCCAAATCTTTTCGGCAGTGTGTAGATTTGTCCGTTTTTCACTCTCCCCCAGTCATCTTTTGAGGATGGTGGTCAACATCTACCAACTACCCATCCCAGGTTGCCATGGTCAAATGATGTTTTTTGTTTGGTATGTATATGTGGTGTGGTCATCCATCCCATAATGGAGATCCAAACATAATGGGTATATACTCTCCAGTACTCTGACTTGGACGCTGAAAATTGAGAAAATGGACGCACGTACTATGTTAGTGGTTTTCTTACTTTTTCAAGTTTTGGAAGCGTCCATGTTAGTGCGACACATGTCACAGGCCCACTAACATGGACACTCAAACAGGCTTTTTTGAACAGTATTCAGCTAACATGGACGCCGTAAGAAGCCAAAAATCTTATGGGACGTTTTTTTGGGCCCCACGTCCATATCAAAGTAGAGGGTAATATAAATCCCTCTAAAAATGGATTCATGATCATCCCCCAGCATGGCTATTTATGTACCTATCTATGTATATATTACAGAATCCAACGTTTGACCATGGCACATATGATCCAAAATGTCAACCACTATTATATAACCCATCCCAAAATATCGTAGTTGGTTTTATATCCCTCTTGAATCCTCTTAAATCACGATCTTTGTTGGCAAGATGCTTAAAGTTATATATTCTCCAGATGGTGTGGTAAACCCAATGCCATATTACAATCCCTATCACATCCTATCACCGTTTTTATGGGTGGTTTAACAATCATCCTGAGTCATGGTAGGTTTATGGCAGCCAAGCATCTCCCGGTGCCAATTTGGCCTGAGACGGGTCGTCAATGGCTTGTTTGAGCAAATGACCCTTTTGGAGGGTTCCTATCAAATTTCCCTGAAGCTAATTTAATTATCTAATTCCTGGAGATTGGTTTTTTTTTCGCCATCTGCGCACCGCAGAGATGGAGATGGCGTGTTGGGCCCGTCCAAGCATTTCAGGTGTGTGTGGATGGAAAATCAGAAACAACTCTGAGACTCACTGGATTTTCACTGGGACCATGACAGGTGTATCGGTGTATCCTCCAAGTCATAGGAATCTATGTGGCTTCCCATGTGAAAGTTGTCCGTTTACCGGGGGAATCATCTTGAGCCTTTTACATCCGGCACCTCTTTGAGTAGGAAGTTCTCCAGCAAAAATCGGAGGCATCCTCGCAGTCCCTGCTTCACCAGCTTCAACTCCTCCTACCACCGTTGTGGTCGAAATCAATGGTGATTTTAGTGGGATTTGATGGGAATTTCATGGTGATTTAATGGGATTTATATGGATTTATGATGATTTGATGATTTGATAAAAAAATGATCTAACAATCCTCAGAAACTCCAAACCTGGATTCCTTCCCAGTTCGGGGCACACCCACCCATCCATTGACTTTGGGATCCACCAACCGACCCAGGACCTACGGCTTTCATCGTCCTTGTTGGATTTCTGGGCAGCGAGGGGGGCCATGTGCATCACCGCCAGAGACATGATATAGCAATTCTTGGGATCAATGTCTTTGCAGCACCCAACCTTGGCCGAAAAAAAAGCTATCCGAAACACACCAAACACTTGGGATCACCCAATCTTAAGGGATGCCTAAGAGATTCCGAATCCGAAGGATTTTGTAGCACATATGAATCGTATATGCATATATAATATTGTGTATATATATATATATTATACGTATATCAATCCCCATGGCATGGCAATCAGGCTGGTTGTACCCCTTGGCAATTTGGTATGTTTTCCCCATGGTCGGGTATCATCCCCATTTCTGTTGGTCGGGCATCATTTACATAATATCAGCATGTGTTTCTAATTCTGCTGGAGAATCCCATGCTCGTTGTCGACTGGCAAAATTCCACGTTTTGTGTTTCAATCTCCGTTCTTGTCGGTGAAAAAAACGCATTTCGTTGGTGAAATCACCATATGTTTGGCTGACTAATTACGGTTCAATGCACCATATTTCAAGCGAAATGGAGGTTTCCAAAAAATGGAGATACCCCTAAAATCCCTAAATCATACATTTTCATTGGATACTCTATGTATATATATATATATGTTCATTGGCTTTCCCTAAATGGTATAAACCATCCATCTTGGGCTCCGCTGACATCCGCTGACGCCAAGGTGCTGCAAGACTTAAGAGACGATCCAAAGACTTCAACGTCAAGGTTCCCTGCGAACTGCGCGGCAGGTTGGACCATCTCCCCATGGTCCCGTTGAAAAAGCCATGAGAAAATCCATGGGAAAATCATGGGGAAAACATCTACGGCTTAGATCACTGGAGGCTACCGTAATGTACCGTAAAAGGACCTTAAAAAGAGGCTTTTGGACCACGAAATGGAATGGATTAGTATAAATTGGGGATATCATTTTGGAACCAGGGCTGCTAGCACCAGTATGTGTCATCATGTGTATATATATGTATATTATGATGGTAGAACCGACTCCAATGGGAATATCATGGCTAAATCATCGAGAATCAGCCGTGGGATACAAAAGGGCAGCGCTATGTAGCGCGTCTGGGTTCCCTCATCTGCTCCCATTTCTTGAGACCCCAAATTTCGCGCATCTGTTCGTTCCATCATCTCCCTCCAGCCTCATTCAGTCTTTAGTTGTCCGGCTTTCCTTTGTTTCATCTCCACTTTGTTCAATTACATCGAATTAATTTCGCTCAATGGAATTTATGATCATCCCCATTCTCTCACAGGTAGCAAGAATTCCCCTTCCTAGAATTGGGATACTATGACTCATTTTTCAGGGGCCTACACCATTTTATGGAAATCCCATTATATGATTTATGGGATCGTTTCAACTCCCAATGATATTCCATGAATATCATATGGGTGCATCAGAAAACGCTTTTTCCATGCTAGATATGCTAGACCATCTGAAGCCACTTTTACATCATTACATCCCCATTCACATCCCATGAAATCACCATTGTTCATGGTTCACCGGTTAACCCCCGTGAAAACCAACGACCAACATCGACCAACACTGCGGACAAATTTCTTCGCCTCGTGAGACGATGTGCTCGCAGTGCCCTCCCGCTGGGCAGCCCAGGCGGCACTTGCAAGCCAAATCGCCTCCAAGGAGGCCACCGGAAAGAAATAGATCAAGTGGGGAATTTTACCCTCTGGTTATGACTAACATAGCCATGGTATAGATGGCCCATTTATAGATGGTTTACCTATTAAAAATTGTGATTTTCCATGGCTATGTTAAATAACCAGAGGGTAGATCCATTTTATTGGTGCTTACTAGGGAATGGGGCAGACTACTGGGATGATTTTTTTGGTGAAATGGATCATTCCCGAAAATTCCCTGCGTAAAACGCACCAGTAAGTTTATTGGGATATTTATGAATATGAAATAGATTGAAATAGCAATCCATTTTTGGGGGATTTTATGCCAAGAAATATCAATTTTCTTGGGATAAGAAGAGGATATGATCCATTTTATTGGGATCATGTGGGATCATATGAATCATATGAAAATAAATGGAGATCATATGGGATAGCTCAAAAATGAGATGCCAAACCAACCAATTGAATCCATTATATTGAGATCATATTGGAAGTACCCTCTGGTTGTTTAACATAGCCATGGTATAGATGGCCCATTTATAGATGGTTTACCTATTAAAAATGGTGATTTTCCATGGTGAACTGTTTAATAAAAAGATGGTATATGATAACGAACCAACCATTTTTTCGGATGTCATTTGGCATATCAACCATCGCAAGATGTTCAGTGGGATACATTGGGACCAAAAAACCCTAACGACCCACTAGTTTATATATTAATATGAGTTCAGCTCATATATTGGAATAATATGGATGTTCAATGGGATGGTAAAATAGGGAAAATCTACAGAAAAAACACTGGCCTTTTCCCACCAAATACTCCCTTCCTGTTGCTGAACTTCCCCCACTTAACGGAAACAGGTTCGTGTTCCCCGCGTTTGGTTTTTTTTCAATTTGAATTACCCGCTGGACCCTTTGAAGAGTACGTCAATAATTAGAGTCCCCAAATCTAGGTTTGCACCACCTATTGTTAATGAACACAAATATGATTTGTTGGTTTTGGTGGCTTTTATTATGGTCCCCGGAGTGCGCAGCTTCTCTGCAGAATATCATGTTCTCAAACAATTAGTGTGTCTGTTGAATTATGAAGGTAACTGTCGAAATCCAGCTTTGGGCAATATTTGAAAAGAATTTAAAAAGGAAACGGATTGATTTTGAAAGCGACAACATAGTTGCAGCGGGACCAGCCTCACTTGCGCCTATAGAAACGACTGACTCACTTGCGCAAAGATTGACCTAGACCTAAACATACCTTTATGTAGAAAAATAAACATTTAGGGTCTACTTTTAGGGGACATGGGGGGGGGTTGGGGACCAGGGGAGATTAGGGAGGGACATGGGGGCATGCAGCAACATAATGCACACAGGCAACATTCCTTTATGTAGAAAAACAACCGTCTAGGGTCTACTTGAGGGGACTTAGTGGAGGGAATTGGGGACCGGGGGGGGTTAGGGAAGGGCTTGGGGAGCAGGGGGGATTAGGGAGGGACATGGAAGCATAGTTGAACAGCCAAACCCTGGTCTGCTGGGGCAAAACCCAGTAGCCCGAATGGAAAGGAGCTACCCGGGCACAAGCGAGACAAATCCACGTTGTTGCTGCTGCTGTTTTTCTTTTAATACGGTGTCCAATATCAGGGAACCTTGGAAATCCAAATCCAAGCATTTTTTCATTGAATGTTCAAAAAAAAACGTTGATTGATTTCAAAGCGACAAAACAGTGCTTCTATTCGACTATTTGGTGTACTATTGGGAAACCCTCCAAAATTCATTGGGCAGTCTTTCAAATACATGTTCATCTTTTCTGTGCTTTTAAAGGACGCTGATTGATTACAAAAACATGATAATATAACGTTGGTTTGGAGGACTCCCTAATGCGAGGAGCACCCCCCGGCAAAAAAAAGGCTTCCGGGTTTACTGCTTGGGTGGGGAGCTGATATTGTGGGAAAATTTTGTGCTTGTGGAGGTGTCAGTGCCGGGGGTCCCGACAAAAATGGCCCAGTCTCTGGATTGTGAATTGTAATATGTTGTATATCTGAGAACCTTTCCAGTCATGGAGCAAAAAAAATGAACAAGTATTTTTTTATCAACCTGGGGTTTTAACATGCTTTTAACATTGAACGATGAAACCATGAATATAATGTTCAACCTGACAGAGCAATGCATGCCCAAAAACGATGGCACGCCTGACCATCAAATCAAAGAAGAACGCGCATGAGATCAAACCATGTATTGCGGCGCGTGTGTTTGAGAAACGAGATGTAGAAACATATCACCAAACAGCAAATAGCAAATAGATATATATATATATATAACATTATATAACTATAGAAGAAGAATACTTTGAAGCGTGCGCCAGCCCAAATCAAATACTGCACGTGCCAAGAAATCCTTAGTGATCCTTAGCTGACCAAATAGTTGCCTAGCGTTCAGCCAGCCAGCAACGCACCTTAGTCACCTCAGTAACAGACAGGTTTTGGGCGTTTAAAGTCCAACCGAAACGTGCCAAGAAAGCACAGGCAGATTTAGCAGAGGCATGGGCAGGACGATAATTGCAAGACCAGACAATGTGTTCCGAGAACCCAGCCGACTGACACCCCCAGGGACAGAGAGAGAACCCAGAAGCGTCATGCGATCCCAAGTGGCAGGAAAGGTGGCACCCAGCCGGACCTCAGCAGGAGCAGAGGACAGCCTGCAGTGACAAGCCCCCACAAAAGACTCAAGAGATTGACGGGTGGGTTGGACAGAGACATCGACCAAGACCGCAGCAAAGTCATGACGCTGCACCAGACGACCGATGACCTCGACAAAACCTTTTAGATTGCATCCAAGAGCACAAAGCTTTAGCAGTACCGGAAGGGACCAAAGCTGCTTGGAGAGCACGACCCACCGTGGACCTTCGTTGAGATACCGAAGTTGGACGAGAGAAAAGCCACACCGCAAGAGAAGAGCACACTTTGCAAGATGTGTAACTATGTAACTTTATCAGAGTGCAGTCACGGGCCACGGGTTTTGTTTTATATAAAAAGGAAACAATCGCAAAATACATTTCTTAGGGAAACCACCTGTGATATGGATCGTCTTCCAAACGAGGAAGGGCAGGAGCCACAGGGCTTTCGGAGTTTGGTTGATAAATCCGGGTAGAAGCTCCATGATAAATTAACAATCCATGGTTAATATATGGATAATCTATGGTTAATATATGGATAATCTATGGTTAATATATGGATAATCTATGGTTAATAATAGTTACCCTCTGGTAAACTAACAGTTTGCGACATAGAAAATGGCCCAGTCGAAATAGCTGATTTACCCATGAAACATGGTGATGTTCCATCGTTTTTTAAACGTTTACCAGAGGGTAATCCAAACAAGCAATAGATATGGTAAGATGTAAATCATGTAGCCTGGGCCAGTGACTTGGATGGTTTTGTCCATGTGTAGATCTGAAATCAAAAGATTGGAAACACACATGGATGTCTATCAACATCATCAAACTATGTTAGTTTCATCTAACAGAATCTAACATCTGAAATCATCATCTAACATCATCTAAGATCATCTAACATCCCCATTCCAAAATCAGCCACTGCCTCCAGATTGTTTCCCGAGAGCGCAGCCTGGCGCCATCGTGGTGAAATCTCTAGTTCATGGCTGAAAAAGGCCGGTTTTTTGTCTCGCCGTTTTTGTCAACCCTGATTGATGTTGAAGTAATATTCCAATTTCTATGGTGAATCCAGTGTTTTTCTTGCTTGGATCCAAAATTGTTCCCAAGTTTTTCAATTCTTTCTTGAAGCCCCAGCTTTCTGAGCAAAAATCTGAATGTTCCTTGGTTAAAATCAACGTTTATCTTGGAGTAAAAGCATCCATGTGTCTAGGTAAAATCCCTAGTATGTTTTTTTTCTGGTGGTTAAATCCCTTTCTCCTGGGAAAATCGCTGAACAGTTACCATCATCGTTGAATCACCGGGCCTCGAGCTCCTTCAGCTTCTCCATCGTGCAGGGGTCCGGACGGTGCCAACGGTCGACGCAAACGACGCGTTGGACGTTCAACGCACGGCTGGCAGAACCAATACGGCGTCCCGTGGCGTGGTTTAAGGGACCAATAGAAGAATGGAACTGCTATAAGATCCCATAAGCATTTCATAGTATGTCATACACTTTCCATGTTGCGGTGGATTTGGATGACCAAAGAGCAGATTTTGGATGTCCCACTTCGTGGTTCGAAGCGACTTTTAAATGCAAAACGAGGCAAGTGTAGGGATTGTGAGGAAAGGACATGCCCGAGAACTTCATACTGGCAGCACACTGCAAACCTACTGGAAAGGTGCATGGGAAACATGCTGTACCATATTGGCAGTATACTAGATTCTCTCTCTCTCTCTCTCTTACTGTATATATATATATAGTGTATGTATATATTTACATATACATATACATGTTGTGTCTAAATCATGCAAATCTAGACAAGTACATGCAAATACTATCACGTACTATATTATATTCGTTGGCAACCCTAGTCTACACCTGCAAGTCGCTAGACCTCTGTTGCCAAATGCTGCCTTGACCGATTTCAAGACCAAAATATTCCCATGGAGATTAGCCACAAATTCGCCAAATGGGTTTGTCTCAAAATAGGTCACTCCAAACTTTCATGGTTTATCATCATCATTAACATATAATTTGACAATGGCAATTAAAAAAAGTGGTCTTCCGCATGTTGAGAAACCAACCCACCGTTCCGCCCAGGTTGATTCTGCTCCAAGCATATACCCTCTGGTAAACTAACATAGCTATTGAAAATGGCCATTTATAGTGGATTTTCCCATTAAAAATGGTGATTTTCCATAGTTATGTTAGTTTACCGGAGGGTACCCATCGTGAGTGTTTCATATCCCCCATATCACCAAAATATGATGAATTCCCTGCTCCTTCTGATCGATGACCACCTTCTGTCGCAAGACCTTGCACTGAAGATTCAGCTGGGTCTCCTGAAATGTGCAGCTCGAAAACCATGGATTGGGTGGCACAAATTACGAAACCATGGACTGTTTACCCTGAAAACAACTAAAAAATATTGAACAAATATATATATATATAACTGGTTGGTGGTTTCAACCCCTCTGAAAAATATGAGTTCGTCAGTTGGGATTATTGTTCCCAATTGAATGGAACGTCATAAAATTCCATGGTTCCAAAGCACCAAACAGATATTATATACCATATATATATATACCATATATACCATCCATTAACCATCCATTAACCATCCATTAACCATCCATTAACCATCCATTAACCATCCATTAGCCAAAATAAAGGGGGTTCCTGCAAACTTCCCTCCAACAACCGACGTGAATTCGACGGTCCCCGGGACGGTCCTTGTCTGGAGTCCTTGGGACGTCTAAGCTGATGTGAACCACCGACTGGGCACCTGCCAGGTACATCCGCCATCCGAAGAAATGGAAATGGACACATTTGAACATCATTGGTTACCCTCCGGTTTAACAGTTTGCTATGGTAGATGGCCCATGTATAGATAAGTTAAATTGATTGAAAGGATCTGAACCAGCCTAGTCATGAATCGATATTCAGCCCTGCAGGATTGTTTGCCCCCGAGTTTAACTACATTTGGCGGACGCTGTCCACTGCTACACAGATCCAGGCTAAGAAAGACATTCCAAGGCAAAGTCTCCGCACCTGTTCAACCCACTAGCTAGATAGATAGATAGATAGATAGATGGATGGATGGATGGATGAATGGATGAATGGATGGATAGATAGATAGATAAACAGACAGACAGAAAGACAGATATATGATAGAGAGGTAGAAAATAGATATGTAGAGGGAGATAGAGAAATAAGATAGATAAAGAGAGATAAAGAGAGATAAAGAGAGATAAAGAGAGATAAAGATAGATAAATAGAGATAAAGAGAGATAAAGAGAGATAGAAAGATACAGAGATAGAGAGATAAAGAGTTAGAGGGGTAGAGAGGTAGAGAGATAGAAAGTAGAGAGACAGAGCGATACAGAGATAGAGAGATACAGAAATAGAGAGATTGAGAGATAGAAAGGTAGAGAGGTAAGATACAGAGATAGAGTGATAGAGAGATAGAGAGATAGAGAGAGAGAGATAGAGAGATAGAGAGATAAAGAGATAAAGAGTTAGAGGGGTAGAGAGGGAGAGAGATAAAAAGATACAGAGTAGAGAGAGAGAGAGAGAAATATATATATATAGAGACAGACAGACAGACACAGAGACATACAGACAGACAAACAGACAGATGGATCGATCGATAGATAGACTTTGGATCTTGGTACTATGAGGGTCACCACTAGTCTGGACTGTGCTGCAACGTCCGCGTAGCCACGTCTAACAAATTTGAACAACAAATTCAGCAATAAACAAGTGAATCAGACAAAGGAGCCAGGAAAAATGAATGCAGTTGGCGAGGATGTGATTGTTACTGGCGCAGTATAGCAGTTCCGTTGCTGTTGTTTCCAGTGCGACGATTGTAGTGATGATGAAAAGGAAAATAGCAACCAGAAAAATGATAATGATAATGCTATGTTAGACTGGGGTGATCATTATCAATTCTCTATCTGCCTATCTATCTATCTATCCAACTATTGATATCTATTGAATCTAATCTACTCTTTTCTATTCTATCCAGGTCTATTCTGTTCTATCCTATTCTCTTGTTTATTATTACAACTCTTCTGATTCTGGGGATACTGGGGAGGATCACCATCAGTGGTGGCCCCACTGGGCCTGGCGCTTCCAAGCTCAATACGATGGGAATCACGTCCTTTCGTTTCTGCTTCAGCTTCCAAAAGACCTGCCGAATCTGAAGGTTGTTTTGTCGGTTTGATTTTGTTTGCACCACTACTTCAAGAATATGTGTACATGCATGTTAGGTGGTTTATTTACTTTGCATGTTGAATGGATGACAAGAACTTAAAGTTGGCGAGACACAAGAAACACTACGGAAACCCAGCATGGAACCCATCAAGATCCACACTCAAAAGGCAAACCATCGTAAAATCCTGAAACATTCTCAAGGCATCCTCCAATTTCCGGTGCAGTAAATGTGTATAAATAGATATGAGTTTTTCTATTTAAGATGTATGTGTATATATACATATATATATATACGTATACCAACATGTGCATATTATAGATAGTGGCAAACTGTATTACTTCACCAACCTGAAAAAGTAGGGCCAGAAAAGGTTGGAATATTAACCCATCACCATTCTTCAGATTAAGTGGAATAATAGGAATTCCACTATATATATATATATTGACCTTTTACGGCGATTTTGATTTTTTGATGATTACAGTACCTCTAGCTATATCAACCACTATACAGTGATAGTGGTGATTGTTATAATTACCCATTCTATATGTAGAGAGAGAGATACTATATATATAATTCTATATATGACCTATACATAAGTACATAAATATATATATATATATGTGTATGTATGCATGATTAATTACCACTACATAGTGATAATTACCTATAATAATCACCAAAAATGATAGCTACCACTATAATCATAGTATAGTCACCAGTTTAAAAAAAAAAAAACACACACATTCAAATCACTCTAATTATATCAATCATAAAATCCTATGATAATAATATATGTATATTACAATCACATCTTATAAATTCCTACGGATCCCTCTATCCATTCCCCGGACCTTCCACCCATTGCCCTCGGATCGCCTCTAAAGGCCAGCGTTGAAAGTCGATGGCCTTATCACCTGCGAGGCGTAGCTCGTGCTTCCCTGTGCGCAACGAGGACGGACGGGGAGCTGCTGAGGACGAAGTACTCAACGGATTTCGCGCAACGGAACACATGGGAAAAGCAGGGTTGATATGGCCTTGACATGGCCATGATATGGTCTCCGAGATTCAAAAAGATCAATATATGGAGGGTTCACGGGGCTATGATAGCTATACCCTAGCGCAAACGTTTGTATGGGATTTGTTTGTCTGCTATAATGGGAATATAAAATGCTGGTAGGGAGAATGATGATTCATCGGTGGATTTACGGGTACTCAATTTTGGGACAAACCCATATCTTCATAGAACTAAGGTTGCAACTACCACAACTCCCAATTGGGACCAACCGGACTAGGGTTACTAACCAAGGGTTGGATGCCTGCTGTTTCATCCCTAAACTCATCAGATGAAACAGTTGGGGTCAATAATCGGTGTTTGGGGGTGAGGAGCATAGCATCTCTAGACTTGATTCGGGGATCTTATATCCCGCAATCTATGAACCTTTAGCCTTTAGCCCCAAGTAGTGGCACAACCTGGTTTCACTGGGCGTCGAATGGGGAACAATCCAAACCGATCCGCCACATTATTTTTTCAGAATCTTAAGAATTTCAAAAGAATTTTCAGCCGTTTCGCCAATGCTTATCGCGTGTTTCCCCCACATCCTCGGAACTACGCCAAGCCTGCAGGATATGAACAGCTCCAGGGGGCAGGGGCATCATTATCCTTGCAGCCGGGGGATGATCATGATCCGACACCCATTTTCAGTTTCTGTGTATTCATATTTGAATGGAGGATTGAGAAAAAACAAACCATCATGTGTGTAATGCAAAACCAAAAATCAAACCCAGCTGGGGGATTCTTGGATACATTGATAATGTCAGTTTGTGAATTGATGATTGGGAAGAAAAAACCAGAAAAATGATGGGGAAGCTGATGATGCTGCTGCTGCACCTACTCCTACTCCTACTCCTACTCCTACTCCTACTCCTCCTACTATTCCTGCTCCTACTCCTCCTACTATTCCTGCTCCTACTCCTCCTCCTACTACTCCTACTATTACTACTACTCCTACTACTCCTCCTACTACTACTACTACTCCTCCTACTACTGCTGCTACTACTACTACTGCTCCTACTACTCCTACTACTACTACTACTACTACTACTGCTACCACAACCACGACAACCACGACAACCACGACAACCACGACAACCACGACAACCACGACAACCACG